TGCTTTGTCATTATTCAAAATAGACTACATACTTCTAAAAAACTGTACATCTAAACGGCGTACATATTTGTTTGTTTATGCCAATATAACCTCGACTTTTTCTTAATTAATATTTTTTGCAAATAAATTTCTTCATAAATTTTGTTTAAACATATCTTGTTTTGCAGAATTTTCAATAAAAATTCATATACAGAACGACACACATTTTAATTACGCTTTTTGCTTGCTACCGTAGCTTTAATTTCTCGTATATGGAAGAGATTTATTTTAATTATGAATGTCATTTTTACACAGAAATGAGATTCGTTATGATTTTAATGAAAAATAATGACAGTGCTTATATTATACGAAGTTTAATTGAAGAGTTTTATGTAAAATATGGTTATAACTGGATATAAACATATCTCTATGAATATAGAAAATTCTTTTAATTATTTGTCGTTTATCAATTTTTTCTATTCAGAGCTAAAAATCAATGCTTTTTTCTATAAAAGCACAATTTTTAAAAATCACAATCTTCAAAAAATATGTGGATTCTTATATTGACTTTAAAATGGCGTAAAATATAGCAAATACGTTAATTTTTTAATAAAAAATTAATCTCATTAGACAGAACATTGACTTATGGATTTGTACGACATATTTTGAATAGAATGGACTTCATTTTTATATAATAAAAAACTGTTTTTATTGATATATTATTAATTGAAATTTTTCTTTTTTTATTCAATGTGTGTTTTATGTTTTTCCAATAAATTTGTGTGAAGTATCCACCGAAAACAAGTAAAATGAAACGTATAGAAATCTGTTTGTTTTTAGAAACATAATTTAGTTTTATCTTCATTATCTGGATGAATTTTACCTTCAACTTTTTCCTTGCATTATTTATTTTATTTTCTTTCTGTGTCACAATTACTCTACAAAACCACAAAGCCACATAGTAGTATCCAATCGCAATCAATTCAATAAATCCTTCATTTTTTATTTTTGTAAGTTAGGAAAATGCTCTGTTCTTACATTAGCAAAGTTTTTTGTATATTTTTATGTGGTCATTATATTTTTACTGCCACGAATGTAAAAAAGTGCGATAAGGAGTTTATTACGACCTCGATGAGAGATGTAGAACAAAAGTCGTTACGTTGAGGGATTAGATGTAAATTTGATAAAATGCTGGAGGTAGTACCTATAGTAGGACAATCAGTGGAATAAATCACAAATTAAGACAAATAATTTATAAATATTATAGGATAGAAAGATAAATATCTGTCTAAACTTAACTAATCCTATGCTAGCCAAACCATAATTCAAGAAATATAATGTATCTGGAAATAAAAAATAATAAATCAAAAATTAGATAAACAACTTTAACAGTTCATCTGTGATCTGGGTCACCAATTTAGTTAATTTTTTAATTAAAATTAAATATTAATAATGAACGGCTATAAATAACGAGATATTTTTTCTCAATTGTTTTACATTCACACATTCATCAAATTTTCTTCTAACAAAGACCAACTTGTATTGCTGGAATATTGTTATTACAATGCATTCAGGGATTATAATTAGATAACAACATAATTTACTGTATACGATATATTTTTGTAACAGATTAAGACTATTTTGGCATGTAGCTTGATTTCAAATTAAGCTCGTTTTTTTCTAAAGCTGATATTTACAATCTAAAAATTACCAATGTATATAAAACATAAAACAAAAATTGACTATTTTTAATATTTGTATCTTTGTACCTATATATATTCCAAACTGCTCTTCTGAGGATCGTAACGAGTTATGAGATGATCTCTCGCAGGTATAACGACAGAGGAAAGACAATAAAAAAATCGCGAACGAAACGCGTAAATGCTTTTCTCGAAATTGCGAAACAAGTCATAAAACGTCGATCGTCTTGAATAATGTCTTCTTTCTGGCGGGTCTTGCTCGCTTTTGATATATTTTGCAATATCCCATTACGAATTCCGTAAAGTATTGGTCTGATATTATGTGTAGATGTCATAAAATTTGGATGTTATGTGTGTGAGGTAGAGACAGGTTCATGAAAATAAATCAAGGTGATATACCTACTATGATCGGATTTAACTTGTACTTTTATTAACTTTCTGAAGAAAAAGTTGCTAGTTTTAAGTTTCCTCAGCTTTTCAAGTCATTTTGAATCGCTTCAGACCAAAATTGGAAAAATTATATTGAGTAGATTATAGCCAAAATTTTTGTTCACGTGTTAACCAAAAATATTGACAAAATATTACTCGTAAAGTTTATCTATTATATAAAATAATTGTTATCGTATACACGTAAAAAAATTATTAATTAAGAATAAATTTAGATATAAGTAAAAAATACTGTTGTGTAAATTTCATATAAAGATTATATTCGGTATTCATTATATGGATTGATCGATTTATAGATTGATTTATGCATGCATTGATTTAAATATGAATTTTAGTATTCTCGAGTGTGTTAATGAAAGCCAAAATATAAACGAGGAGAACTATAGCATTCGTTTGAATTAATTAATTAATTAATTTGTTATCAATTACGTTCCCGAATTGTGTACTTAATGACTGCGATTTGATTGCATATTAATACCGTACCGCGAACAGGGGAATCTTCATATCGATAATTATAAAGCGATAAAATCGCATTGCTAAACAGTGAGCTTAATTATAAACTCGGTTATTGTGGAATATAACATTTAATTTGTCCCGATGTATAGAACTAAACCGCTATTTGCCTACATGGTAGTTTTGTCAATTTGCATTTTAATCAGGTGAATTGAAAATGGATTATATCGGATGTCGATCTAAATCCATTTATAATTATCATGTGCGATTGGCGTTTTTATCCCCTGATTAATATTTTATTGTAATAATACCCTCACACACACACACATATATATATATATATATATATATTTTCAACATTTTTGGACGAATTGAATTTCAACATAACATTTTGGTGGCAGCGGTAATGTCAAAAAGCTTTTCTTTATTTGATATTGAAAATAAAATATAGTAATTTTGACTTAGGAATTTTTTACTGTAACTACAACTTATATTTAAAGCTGATATATTTTGAATTCTGCGAAATTGAAATGTGATGTCAGTATTATTATTGGCAAAAAGCAATTATGATTTAAGGATGGAAAAAAACTTTAAATTAATTAAAATTTAACTAACTTAAAATTTGAACGTAAATGCTGATATATGCGAAAAATCATATAATGTATGCTAAGAAGCTGTTTGTTAATTGATCTTAGAAAGAAAATATATTAATTATGGCCGAGAACACTTTTAGTAATATCAATTAATGTATAACTTGTTAAATTTTGCCTAATGAAAATGTATTACCAGCAATATTATTGGCAAATATATATATATATATATATATATATATATAACTTTTGTGTGTTGCTAAATATAAATCGACAAAGGAAAGGAATTTGCGAAGCGTATAAAATCTGGTGTCACGTGACCGGATATGACGTCACTTGCAGCGGCCGGAAAACGAAATGAAAATCCGTAGCGGCCCCTGCAAATGAAAATCCGAACTCGATGGCGCAGAAGTAACACGCATTCGAGACAATTCAGCTACGAACTCGAAACGTTCAAGTTCCGCGAACATAAAATGAACTTCCATTACGAAAGTGTTATCAAAAGCTTCGGTGCCATTCATTCGGTATAAATATTGCAAGAGTGCTTACCACATTTGCTAATGGTGTTTTGGCATTTTATTTTTAACAGTCATATTTCTAAAATGCTATACTCTTTCATTTTATCTAAACATTATTAATTTCCCATATGTCTAAATATATATAAATGTGTCTAAAAAAATTGTTTATAACGACTTTTATTCACAAAAATATGTAACATTACAAAACATAATAATTGTTTTTTAAACAAAGTTAACATATAAACTTCAGGATTGTTATCTTGTATTGAATCTGCTAACTCCAAGCAGTAATGAAAACTTGTTCCAACACACATACAACATTTTTCTCACTTTGAACCCTATATCAAAATATAGGGTATGGTTTAGCTGTTATGGCGACTGTTACTTTCGTACCCTGGCACCCAATCTCCCCTACAATTACAAAATATTAAAAAAAATATAATGGTTGTATATATTTTCAAGCAACAATATTAAGATTCAAAACATTACTATTTTTAATATTTATTTTTTAAATTGTAATGTTTCTAAAGTCCAATCAGAATTTGCGGTTTGAACGCTTCCATTCACTTATAGGTTTTTTACAAAACGTCATGTTCAATAGTTTTTCCTTGAAAACTTGGAAAGCATAAAAATTGTCATTTAGTTGAGAGCTGAAAACCGCATTGCGAGAATGGGTAATATCTTGAATACAATGTTTGTACGTTCTAGCAGGAAAACTGTAGTGAAAACTTAAAGCACAGAATATTGGAACAGGCGACGAAAAAATAAAAAATAGTTTGTTGGCAAGTTCTGTATGTAATACGAAAATTTCACATATATCCAAGATTTTATTGGGTCAAATTAAATATTGAAAGAAAATGATTTACATTCTTTCTTATAGATATAACAAAAGTAGCTTAATTTAATTGTGTAACCTTAAGTAAGTTATTAGGTTGTTGTTATTTTTTGTTCTATATCATGTATTCAAATTCTAGCAATACCTAATATTATTTGTCTCTTCTGAAGTCAATAAATGCCAAATATTTTATACAGATAGTGGTATACTTCAATTCATGCTACCTGTTTTGAGATAAAATTTCACTTACACCTAGTTTATTTTACACGATATCCATATTTAAATCAAATTCCGCTTCTATTTACCATTCCCAAGCGTGCAAGGGACAAATCATAAACAAATACAATAATATCTTCGGGCGACCCCAATTTTGCACGGTACCAATTACTTTATGGAGGTGTACCGTTGTTATAATATTTGTTTTTTGTTACAGAAAGCGTCATACGATGCAGGGAAGTTATGAATGTCGAAGTCGCCAGTGACTAAATGCATACACAAAGAAAGATAGGGTGTTTTACCCCTTTATTCGCCTCGGTGCTCATTTGATATAGTAGCAGCCATACAGAAAGGGTGAGTTTTATATCTAATGTTTTGATTAGCGATTCTATAACTGCGTTTCTCAACTTTTAATTCAATTTATAAATATATAGTCTTCATTAATTCTATAATACTAAGATACTATAGTATCTAGTTCAGAATCTTATAAGACTCTGTGATACTAAGAGTTTCATCCATTTATTGACTTCTCGAAGGTAAGTTTATATTTATACGAAATACATTGATACCTGATAAGAGTAGCTAAATATTTTTAATAATATTGTGACTGTCTATAAAAGTTAAAATCTTCTAATATCTTAAAATAATAATATTAACTGCTTAATTATAAATTGTTAAAATTTAAATTTTATGCGAATCAGGAATGAATAAATTACTTATGAAGATGACGAAATGATCAGACAGACATGTATAACTACTAACTAGTAACTCTTTATAGTTTGCACAATATTTATAGATTTGTTTTACGTTAACAATTTAATATACTTTTTCTTTTATTATTATTTTAGTTTTTTAGTTATGGATAAGTGATTTATCGCGAGAGTATTGTATACATTTGGCAATCACAGGTATCATTGTTTGGCGTCAGGAAATTAATGTAACACAGTATATTTTGGCACCACGCATTGTGGGCACGTGTCTCTATATCGTATATTGTTATGAATATCAATCCGGAGCAGTTAATGTACCGGCAGAAACGTTGACTCGAATTAGCTAAGGGTTTAATGCAACACGAGTACAATACAAAATACCAAATTTCATTCAGAAGGTTACCCTCTGTACTCTGAAAATTTATTTTGTTTCCATCCTAATTTTGAACCTGTTAGATTTATTGAAAGCTCGATTTAGAAATATCACTTCCTTGCACTAATGAAATTAAAAAGTTCATTCCTGCATCAAGTGTTATTTTTATTATTTATTTACTCAGCATCAATCAGAACTTTAGATTATTAGTCTAAGTGACAACACTATTAGAAAATCTATGGATTGTCTCAACTAATGAACAACACAAATTTCTTATATTTTTTCACGGGTAGTTACTTTTTTCAGACCTTTTTCTAATATAAAATTTCTATTGATCTTATGTACCTACTCATTTGTAACTTACAAAAAAATGATAGGTTATAATTAATAGCAATTTTTTTCAACCTAACGCGCCTAGGTAGATAAGATATTCTTAAAGTGTTCATTAGATTCCTTTTTAAATGTCGACATTGAATAATATTTTAATAAATGATATGATTATTATTCAATACCTTCCTGACGATATAACTCCAGAACGCACGAACCGATTTCGACGATTTTGCATTCGTTGGAAAGGTCTCGGACTCCGTGAGGTTTATAGCAAAAAAATTGAAGAAAAATTTCAACAAAAAGGCGGATTTTTTTCACGTACAGCGTCATTTCTGATGCTTAGCATGTACTACAAACCAATATTTTAAGTAGATGATGCCGGTAGATACATTGTTTGACAGTTACTCATACCCACTTTTTTTTTCAAATATAAAACAAAAAAAAAATTCTTTATCTTCTCAAACCACCTGGTGGCGAAACGGAGTTCACTGGGTTTGCTAGTATTTAATAAATTCCATTTCTATTTCGAAAACTTCAACATATTTTCTTTGCTTTATTCTTTTTAGATACTGTACTTATATTCTCAAACTGATTTTGAAAACTAAAGTTATCAAGTTATTTTAAGTGAAACCATTATCCTATCATCATAAAAAGTTGTATGCTCTTGTAAGCATTTAAAAAATAAAAATTATTCATGTTATATTTATATATAATGATATGAAATTTAATTTCTTCTAAACGTCATGAACTTCGGATTTTTTAAGAATAAAACAGACGTGACTTCTATGTTAACTTCTTCGTTTATAATGCTACATCGTGCGAACTTTAGTGCGGGTCAATAGCAAAATGAATTCTCGCAGCATACTCTCCGAACTCGAACTTATTGAACTTAGAAAGAAATCAAACTCTGATTAATGTTCTTTAAAATAACATTTCCAAGAGTTTTAATTGTCTGTCCTAAAAGATTTAATTACTCGACTTTCTCTACGCTTTTAGTCAGCAAACGGAATAGTTTTCTGCTATTTCTCGCAATATATTTTCACTGCAGGTAAAAATAGAAAATAAATTATGTCGTTATAGTCACAAAAAAGTTTTTATAAAAAAATATTATAAAATTTTTAGAAATCTCCATTAACATATATATCAAAATATTCAGCATCAAAATTAATATATACATTGTATATACATTATTGTTGGTATCACAGATGAAACCGAAACAGGTAGAGATTTCACCGAAGACACCAATAATGTGGGGTCCTACCGCTGCCACAAAATATGTAAAGCCCGCTGGCAGCAAATTATATTTGGAGCTCATCAGTATAGACAAACAAAGCCTTTTGAAATGAATATTAATTTTACAGAACTCTGACTGATTTTATAGACTAACAACCATTGCTTGAACTATTTATTCACGACTATTGACTTATTTTCTATAACTAGACTGAAAACTGGCTATTAACCGCCCCGACTTCATCATTGCAAAGGTTTATATACTAATTAGTATACAGATCTAGAACATTGTTTATAAAATAAAGTTTATATAATTGTGTAAATTGCATTAAAAAATAAGAAGTGTAACTTCGTATTAAAAATGAAAATATTAATTGCATTCTATAACTTACATATTTGCACTCACATGAGTAAATTTATTAATGCGCATGTTATCTTAAAATACATTAAGTTGCTCTACTTGAGATTAGTAACTAAATTTCTAATACGAAGTTACACTTCTTATTTTTTTATGTAATACACACAATAATATACACTTTATTTTATAAACAATGCTCTAGATCTGTTAAATCAATAACAAACTCAGCTCAGGGCATAGGTAAACTATATTATTTCCAGGCCTTGCAATTAACCATGGAAGCTCTACAATTATTCATTTTACCTCCATGTTACCTTGACAAATTTATTTGAAAGTTATTATTAAAATCTGTCTCTTTTATTATCTTTGTGGTGAGACTGACTTTAGTTTAGTTCTGTGTTTAACTTGGGGCACAGATTGTGCAATGTTTATGAAAGGAAATCGCTTCTCCGAACAAACAGACTGGTGCGTCTTCTGGGACTACTTAAAGAGAAAGAAACTTCAATCCTTCGCAGTAGAAGAAAGAAAAACTCACGTCGCGATTAAATGTTCCGATAGACTTTAGGTCTGCAAAATTTCTAAGAAATTTCCAAAATGATTCAATCATTAACTGGAAACACACATGTAATTCTTAACGGGGATGATGAAGTTTATGCAAGTGAAAATGGAATTAAATGCACAGGCTCAGCTTTAATTCAATACAGTTTTTCAATATTTATTTTGTTCTTAGTTTTCTATGTTACCATATTCAATCTCTCAATTTATGTTATATATAATTTAAATTTTTAATTTACATTTTATCTAATCTACATAAAATCTAAATATTATTTTTGTATTTGTTGAGTTTTGCTCTGTTTCCAATATGTCAATTTATTTTTTCTTAAGTTTTTTCCATATTTTTGTTAAAATTCTATAACTATATTTTTTAATACGAGTTTAAGTTTGTATAACTTTTTTTAATATTTTATTGTGTTATCAACATTTTTCTGAGTATCTTTTTAACTCACAGATTAATTAATGGAATTAGAATCCAAAATTAGATTTAGACTTTCCATGGCTGGGAATTCATATTTTGCAGACGAGTAATAAATAACTTTGGCGGTTATGTAGAATATTCTAGAAGTTCGTTTTAGAAGCGTTTTCTGATAATAAACAACGGCGACCACAACAACGAGATGCCGACGTCTTTTCACTCCCACAGGGAGGATATTAGTTACCAAACTCTCTTCTGCAAAAACCTCCCGAAAGGAAAACTTAGACAATGTATAGTCCTTGGCAGAGTCGGTACTAATACAGTTTCCAAGAATATAATAATGCAATTCTAGGTTTTTACTGATGCGTTTAATATTTTTGAAATGAGGAAATGGGTACGATATGAAACAATTTCAGTAGGTGCCATCAAATGAACGAAAATGTCTGTTCCTTAGCACCGGACACTAAGTCATTTCTTAGTGCCGGACAGTAAACATATTGATATTTCTTGTGAGAATTTATGTAATTTATGCCAATTATTTAATTTTATTCTATATGAGTGCTAACGGTCACTAAATTAATTACCTACATTTTTCGTATTTCCAAGTCAAAGAATGAAAAGCAGCCACATCAGCTGAGAGCATCGGTGTGGTCCAGCCAAAAGGGTGGATGAATAGTGACTTTTTTTTTGCAATATCTTAGAATATTCATCAAAGACACATATGCAGACATTCCAGAGCGTGGAGATGGCTAGATATGTGATCAATGCAGGTTATTTTGAAATATCCCATACTAGGTGTGACTGTTTAAAATCATATTTTTTGATAGCAAAGCTTGATTGATAGTATTAATTATTTTTAGCAAAGATTGCGGTGTTGTTAATTTAGTTTGATTTCTAACTTGTTATTTAACATAAATCATAATTTAATAAATATTTCGTAAAATATTTTTTGCTTTATTTAGAAATAACTTTAGGTGTCCGCCACTTGGGGACTTCCCCCTACACAACAAAAAAATTAATTATTGGTATATTCGTAAATAAATTTTAACTAGTATTGCAAATTATTCTCTCATTTTTATAGAAATATAATTATTACAAAAAGGAATAATCCTTGCTAATATTTTCTCCGACCCATTCCCTCTCTGCCCTAAAGAGGTGAGTTTCTTATACCGCGTTATTCTCGCGCAACAAGAGCGCAGGAAACAAAATAACAAGCCACACAACGTCGGAGGTTATTACAGCAAGCAAAGGAGCCGTATTTAGAGTTGATTAAATTTTTAATAGATCTTAATTAAGATTATAATAATAGTAAATTAATTTTTAATGAATGCACCGTACAACCGGAGGATGCCTTTTTAATAAAACCGATGGAGGAAGGAT